CATTCATTCAACTATATTAAAACATGTGAAGACACAAGTTTCATGAATAATTGGATATTATTTGTGATTGAATATTTATAGCAATAGCACTTAGTGGTTTATAGAGTCAGGATATTGTCCCCAGCAATCTGGGTCCTCATTTTATTGGCCTTGGAAGGATGGAAGGCTGAGGCAGGTAAGGATTGAAATGCTGGCAGTTGGCAGTCAGCAGTCAGCAGAAATAGCCTGAAAAACTGTATTCTAACCACTGCACCACCATGGCTCTTATCTGTGTTTTAAAAATATTTGCTTTCATTCAATACCATTTGTTGTCCATTGCATTGCCAATAACAAAGGCCTAGTGGCTGATACCTGCAACTTGAATATAGGAAATAGACAAATCCGTAAGAGCCCAAGTAGTCCCTTGGTCCCAGACAGTGAAGGTTCACTTTAAACTGGGCATGAAATGAACAGAAAACAGTTCCAAGTTGCAAAATTGATATAACCAAGTAGCCAATCCTCTGCAAGCATTCTGATGGTTGAATTTTGCGCTACTTGAAGTTTCCAGAATGCCTTTAAGGAGTAGATCGACTTACACATTATATCAGTCTTGTCTGGAGTTGCAATTGGAAATAAAAAGCACTCCTAGCTACTAAAATCAGCAAATTCCTGTAGCCATGAATTCCGGAAATGACAGTGCTTTCCTTTTCTCTGTAGCTCTGGGCAGCAGAGGAACTGATAATAACACAGTTGAACTGCATATTAATCACTATTGTATATAGTCTATTACTTTCTAGCATCACGAGTGTACCTCTGAAACTCAGCTCTCCAGATATTAACACTTTATTCAGCGGCTTGTTACTGAGCAGTAGTCTCACAGATGGAACTAAGATTTTGCAGACAAAAATTAAACATAGAAAATCTGCCTCATAAAATGAGCACATATATTATATAAATCTATGCTGTGAGGTTATTCTGTACTTCTTCCTGCCCTTTTGTATAGACATTCTCAAAACAGGCTTGAAATGTCTAACACCTGATATATATTGACATAATGACATTTTCTGGCCTGGAAATGCTGTTTCCTACCGCACTAATTTCATTTATTACAATCACATAAGAACAAGGCTGGGAAAAAAATTGTAGGTAAGATCAGGTTTAAGGAATTGAAATTATGAAGTTGAGATCCTACTTTAAGGGTAATTATGCAAGCATATTAATATACTACATGTGCTGAAGTATAACAAGTTCTTCCTGTAAGTATAAACCATCATATATTATGAAGTAACAGAAAACAGATAACGGTTATTTTTAACATGTTGAGAATAAATTTCAATGAATGTTTTTGCCACTTTTTGTAGATAATGATGTGCTATTTTGAGACTCAGATGAGGGCTTCTTATTATTTACTTCTTTAAATTAGCAGGCCTTGATATAGGAACTAAGTAGTGCTTCCAAATAAAAGGTACTTGGGGGAAAAAAAATCACATTTATAAGCATCTGTTATTATCTACTACTAATGTACTGATATGGTACCAGATCTTTCTCACCGCAAGCTTAGTAAGTTATCTAACTTGGGAGAAGATTTCACCTCTATAGCCTGAGAAAGGGATGAAACTATTTTTGCGTTTACGGTACTTTCTTCCTTGTGGCAAGTATTAGAATAGCTCCTGCACTCAAATACAAAGAAAACCAAGAAAAATGAAAAGAAGGCAGGCATGAATAGGAAGATTGCAAATTGAAACTATAGCTGAGCACATTATCAGCATATAGGGGTGCCATTAATAGCAAGGGCAAAGTCAATCATCCTCCTCTTCCATCCAAGGCAGGAAGCATCCACAACCTCTTCCATCCAAGGCAGGAAGCATCCACAACCTTTAGAAACACTGCTGGAAACTTTCCATTTTATCAGCATCTGCAGTAAGTTATGCAAAATATTTATTTCAGTTTCAGTAAAAAAAAACCCAACATGTTATACATTAGAAAGGTGACACAGATCCAAAGGCCTCAGTGAACTGAATCATGATACAATCTGTAAAATCAGATGCTAGTACTGTGCTGTAACAATAAAAAATGCTACAAGTGCTGACTTTAAGCGACTTAAGGACCTAAAGGTCCAGCAAATTTCCTTAAGGTCTGTGCCTGGTTAGGAGACTGATTGAGATTGCTATGAATGCTACCTTGAGTGGGCAGTGATTTTCACTACTGTGGTGGTGAAGTGCTTAAAATGTAGTATTGGTGGCTGACTCTGCCCACAGCCAGGAGTTCAGTCCTGGCTGGCTCAAAGTTGATTCAGCATTCTATCCTTTGGAGATCGGTAAAATGAGGACTCAGATTGTTGAGGGCAATATGCTGACTGTATAAACTGCTCAGAGTGCAGTAAAGCACTATGGAAAGGTATATAATTCTAAGTCCTGTTGCTATTGCTTGAATCTAGAAGAAATATTGGATACAAGTATAGTTAATAGCTGATTCAACTGAATTGTTGCTTTTGGTTTGTTTATATTTTCAGATTAAAGAGTTTGTTGGTTTGTCATAGAATCTATTTAAAACATATTCTACCTTTTAAGAAAATAACAATATATTTTTGTTACTGAACTTTATTTATTGTCTTATTTTATATAAAAGCATAGCAAGTATCATGGCTATTCTCTTCCATTGGAATCATGGCTTTGATATGAAATCTGGCAGAACAGTCATATCCAGAGTTATATGAATTTGCGGAAGGGAACTGTGTTTGCTGGTGTCACATTTGAAATAGAAAGTCTTTTAAATGCTATTCCAAATATGTAGGTACTAGATTTGGTTCACCTCCAAGATGTGGTGGAGCCCTATTCTTGCTTCCATACATTCAGGAATAAGTAGTATATAAGGAATTAATAATACAAGCTTGTTTTATATTACTGTGCAGATAGTATCTTGAACACAGGCTGGTCTCCTTAGCTTGTTTTGAGTGCAGTTCAGGATTTGTTCATTAATTCTGTGAGATAGAGTAAATATGTAGACTGTATCTCTTCCTATAGTGGTATTTTCAAGTCCTATTATTTTTTATATTGTCAAAGACAGATGCACATAATCCTGCCCATCTATCTATCACTAGTAGACGTTATAGGAAAATATCCATTTTAGCCTACAATAGCTAAAAGATGAGGAAACTGGTAGTATTTTTTCAGATTTTTACTAAAGGAATTTTATTTTTAGTAAAGGCATTTATTTTTTTAGAAAATAAAAAGCTATCAGCTAATGCCTTTACTAACATTTGGTAGTTTAAAAAGTACTATGGGTTGGATTCCTCCTGATTTTTCAGTATAGTAGATAATTAGATTGGCCTCCATCAAAAGAACTATGCAAGGTATATGTGAAATGCACACAGAATCATGCTATATCTTTCCATTAGGAGTTCGTCTAAACTGTGCTATTTTCCCAATTATGTTACAAGTAGATAAAGAACATTTTCCTACTCATATACGAGCAGCATTTTCCAATCATACATATGAATGGCTAGCCTAAATATTCTGGGGCACTAAATAGGGCAAAGCTTTCTTGGTTTTGGAAATGCCTCTTACAGCCACAGACCACCTTGAAAAATGAAATAAGGGTGAAACTCCATTTAGCTATTGTGGCTTCTCATATATTTTAAAGCATCCAAGTTTCTTTCAAACAGTTCTTAAGAATTTTTCAAAGGATTGACTCTGAAGCTTGCTTTTTTACCTGCTGCACTTTTTAAATCCACTTGAGCAGAAACATATTATCAAAGACCGACATAGAAATAAAAATATCTTCAAAAGTAATGGAAGCAAGAGGGTTGGAAGAGTTAATTCAAAATGGATGAAAGGCCTTTTAGAAATCTCTACTATTGACCATTTCAGATCTAAAAATGTTAATAGTGATAGAATAGACCCACAGCTTCTCAATACCAAAATAGAACTGTCAATTCATGAACCATGCAAAAACATTTAAATAAAATAAAAGACTTTCAGTTTTCAGAATATTTTCCAATGGATCGACAGAAGGGTGGAAGGATGGACACTAATATTTAAAATCAATTCAAGATAATCAGTTGATTAATTGCAGTAAATCAAAAAACTGGAACAGCCCAATTATTTGTAAAAGTTACAGTAGCAGCAACTTTGGTACCGCCACTTTTTTTAAAAGATCAAGAAAGTAAGATTTATCAGTGGTTTTAAATCATGATAGCATTATAGCAAGGTGTAGGCATCTTCAAACCAGTTGCTGGAGGGCATGAATCCTAGACTGATGATTTATTTCTTAAGTGTTCTTAATTCATTGTTCTGGCCATCTGCATTGTTCTGACCATCTCCCTAACAAGGAAGGTGTTTGTTGGGTTGAAAAAAGTTATATTTTAGTTAGAATGGTGCATACACTGATAAAATGTGGGAACTTTATATGAGAACTAGGTATTATTTCACTGGAAGACATTTAAACTGCAGAAGAACCAAAACAACAATAGGATTCAAATGAAAACAAATTTATTGGCCGAATTCTCATTTTCTGCAAGAGATTTAGAGTTGTTCTTTTTTTTTTTTTAAAAGAAGGGTGGTATGGTAGCATTAGTTGGAACAAAGCTATCCCCATAACAATTGATTCAAAACAAAAAACCAGGATGCTTGAGTAGGACAATTCCGAAAAAGAGGTAGCATCTTATGGAAGCCAAAACAGCACACACTCTCCCGCCCCCCGCTCAAAAATTCGAGAAATTCTCAAAGTCACAGACATTAAAGAAACTTCTTTCTTTTGATTGTGAGACACCATTTATTCACAAGGGGTTAAATAATGCAGCTCCCGCTTGTGTAAACTCTGGCAGAGAAGTGTGTACACACAGACAGGAAATGCAATCCGGGCCACCGTGAGACCAGTTCTGCTGCCCTTCTGCGGTCTGCCGGTGGACTCGCACTCCGTGTTTGGGTGGGCGTTCGCGCACGCTCCCTCGTTCGATCGCGGGCGGGCTTCCCCACCCCTCACCCCACTCTTTGCCTTAGCTTGTAGGCTAAGTGGCGATGCGAGGAGGCGGGGGGGGGGTTTGGGAAAGAGAAGGGGCGTCACCATCTGTTGTTAATTCTCCGGTCATTGGATTAGTAGCCCTCGGTGATGAGATCAGCAAGATCAGCTTTCAGGATGGGGTGCTGGACTGGCTTTAGCTGCAGGCTCTTCCCATCTGGGCTGTCTGTGTCATAAAAGGGGAGAGCAAGAAAGGGGCGGGGGAGAAGCTGGGCAGAGAAAGAGAGAAAAGAAAGCCGAGGCATAAAAGCTGGAGGAATCTTTGAAGAAACAACGGCGAGGCAGCCGGGGCGGCAAAGGGCAGGCTGCCCAGAGGCCACTTTTCCTTCTGCCGAGAGTTTACAGCGGGGAGTTTCCTGTCGGTGCGGCTCGCCTCGATTGTCTGCTGCAGACGCGTGGACCACGCGAAGTCCAGAAACCGGCGCCGGGCCGGGAGTGGAGGGAAGCGGACGGGCTATTTCTGCCGAGTTTTGGTGCCAGCTCCCCCACTTCCCATCACCCTATCGTGGTGTGGTTCCTCCCCGGCGTTCAGCTTCAACTTTTCGGAGTTTTTTTTTTGCCTTCGGAGCGGGAATAGCGTATCAAAACCAGCAGTTGGGGTAAGCAATAACGGGGTGTGGACGTTTTTTTTTTCACTGTTGAAGGGAAATAGTCTTGTAAACGTCCCCAAGATTCTCTGCTGCTGATTCTGCTCCCAAGTGGCTTGTCTTTCTCTCTGGATTTGTATGTTATACGTTAAAAAAAAGAACGAGGCACTTGTACACGCTATAAATCCAAGACACGCGGGGTTGACGGCGAGATGCTTCATTGTTTTTATGGTAAGTGTCTGGAAAAAGTGACGGCTAATCGGGAATGGTTTACTCAGCCGGCTATAGGACGTCAACATTTAATTGTGTCTCAAAAAATATAACGTTGAAGCAAAACAATGCTTGGCTTGGTGATTAAACAGCTGTTGCTAAAAAGGAAACTGTGTGTAGAACTTCACCGGTCTTTTGTAGATGCAGATTTAAAGTCTGGCTAAGCTTGGCTTGTTTGTATGAGGAATAAGTGGCTGATTATCCGAGAACAAATGAGCATGCGGTAGGTTACATGCGGTGTCTGAAACCATTATATTTTGCCAGGATGTTATAAACGGAGCCGAGACGAGATTTACGGTAATTTACCAGGCTCACTTGTTCTAAGAGAGGCAAGAATAATTTCCTGTGATCAAAGCTTCCTTGATGAAACACTGTGACGGTAGTGCTCTGTATGTGCTGAGCCTTGTAAAAAGTAATGTAAAGTCTACAATAAGCATTGCATTTTTGTGCCAAAGATGCTTCCCAGAACAGCTGATTTCTTAATACTCCTGCGAAGTTACTGGATTTTTAAGTACAAATAACTCATTCTAAAAAAAGGAGGGGGGTATATGAATTTTATATGCACCAGAAGTTCTGTGTTCAAAGGTTATCAATTATTGCTTTAATCATAGGTTTGCTTAAAGTGATTAGACCAATTAACTTTGTCCCTTCTCTTCCCAGTCCTTTCAGCAGTACTCCTTGTCCTGTCCTGGGTGATAGAAACTATTCCATTGTGAAATAATTCATTCAAGGAATGTGTTTGTAGAGTTGGGAAGAGGCAGCACTCAGCCAATGCCTTTCAGCTTCTGGCCGTTTAACCTTTGTTATATCCTGTTGCATTGTGGATGCTGAAAAGTCCTGTCTCTCTTGAGATTTTAATTTAATTTTATAAATAGAGGAATGGAATTATATATTAGGGGTCAGTATATATAGGTGCCAGCATCAATAACTGTAGAGGTAGCATGGATGAAGAGAGCTTCCTAAGATCTCAAATTCAAGAATGGAAGCCATTCTTCTATTTGTGTCTTGTTATTTGACCCAGCACAACCCCTCTGCTCAGTTTCATCACTTGCACTTAGGAGAAAAGTAATACTTTCCTTTCTGGCAAGGGCACTGAAGCTTAATTTATTAATGCATCTGAGACACTCTGACTTTCTCAAGACACTGCTGAGGAAGAAGTACAGAGTATGCATTGGAAGCTGTGAAATGAAACACCACATTTCTATAGTAACTCTTTGTGGGAAACAATAGATTAGACTGAGAGTCCACTGTTTAAGGCAGTGGTCCTATTGAATCTCATTATTTTGTCATTTTAACAAGCAATGACCCTACCAGGAACTATTTGTATAGAATGGTAAAGAAAATGATCATGAAAGAATATCTTTTATATATTTGGTATATGCCTGGTTTGTAAATAACTAGCAGCGTTGAAAGGAATGCCCTTACCTATGTCACATAGGTGTATAATTCAACCAGTAAAGACAGGCTTGAAGTAACTGCAGTGCAGTTAAACTGTGTTAGCCATTTCAGTTCCAGTAAAACCAATGGGACACATAAGTTATTAGCCACAATACTTTCAAAGAAACTGACATAGATGAGATCTCCCTTAGCTGGTCCACTGATCATGGTTAATGGTTAGATGGGTGGGGGTAAAGGAAATATTTTAGACTTCCAAGGAAAAGTTTTTGTTGTAGATCCTTGTTAGCTTCCAAAATAAATAGCCTCCTGCGCACAATGCCTGCTGAGTGAAAACTGTCTCCTGCTGCTTTGTGGCAATACTCATTAAGTCTCCAGACTTCTTGTGGTAAGGTAAGCTTAGCATAATGGATTTTCCGTGTACCAAAGCAGACAACTATTCCTGTCTCCCTTCCTCCCTAGATACTGCTTGTCCCAGTTCTGTGTGTAGGTTACTGTCTAACTCTCTTTGAAGTGAAATGTTTGTCACACTCAGTCTTTCATCTCCTGTTTACTGGTGTTCCATCTGCTGGATGTTGATGTCTTGAGGAACAGGAATTTATTTTCCTATTCATTCAGCAATTCTGTTCCCATGTTCAGTTCTCGCAAATAACTTATTTCATATTTACTCCACTTATATCCCTGACTGACTAGTTACAATTGGCAGGCGAAATAGGGTTGTCACAGTCCAAAACTGAGAATTGTCTTTGTTATTCCTGGGCATATCCCATGTTTCTAGGATGGGGTTGAAATAAATGTACAAACCTAATCAGTGTCTTTTAATAGTTAACACAACCTTCCCTAGTACGGTGGTCTCCAGGTATGGTGGACTACACTCCTGTCATCCTCAGCACGGAAATATTAAGCCATGATTTTCTTAAATATATTTCATGAAAACTTATAATTCGATTAAATTGAGCATTAGTCATTCCCGGTCCACTTATTGGTATTAACTTTTCTGAAAAATATATTTATTTTAAATAAAACAATAACAAACACCCCAAAATAGTAGACTGAGCTTATGATATTAAGCATGTTATACATACATATACATCTTTGTGCGTGTGTGTGTGTATCCAAGAGTACTTGCCTTGCAGTGATATGGGTGGTAACCAAATTTATTAAAGTTAAAAAAAAAAAACACCAACCAAAACATGAGATCTTGGCATGGTGTGTGAATTCAGTCTTTGTAGTTTATAGACCCAGTTGATGACTTTGTATCGTCTATTGATTAAGCCATTAATTATTCAAGTAATCATGGTTTAGTGCTAATCATGAACCCATTTACATTGTAACTGGATTGTTTTGCCTGATTTAGGGAGTGATCTGTTGTTAATAAGTAATAACAATCATAGAGTTTGAAGAGATCTTCAACATCATCTAATCCAACTTTCTACTCCTTTCAGGATCCACTAGTATATCTACAATAGATGCCTACTTATCCCCTTTCTGAAGGCCTTCATCGAAGTAGAATTCATCACTTCATGTGGTGGTCTGTCCATGGTACATGCCAAACAGCTCTTAATATCAGAAAGTTCTCCTATATCTAGCCTGAACCTTATACCCCTGTTCTTCTAATGTGTCAATTCTGTTTCTTTTTTCTGTGATAATAGGCTTCCTTTTTGTTCCTATTAATGCAGTAGTTTCTGACTAGATAGTGAGGTTTTTTCCTCCCCTAAACCAGATGGAATTTAATACAGAATATAATGTCTATTTTGAGAACTCTATTCAGGCACCTGAATAATTAAGAATTGAGAGCACTATGAAGCCCAGAGACCTCAGTGCTGTAAAAGAACTAACATTCTGTGATGGGGATCAGTTGCCAGCTCAATGAATTCTAGAACATTGCCTGGAAGAAAAATCAAGAAATGACACTGCACTTGAAGTACATCTTTCTTTTATAACCAATCCAAATAGGAATCTTAGATTCAATTAGTGGAATTAAATCTAATTAATTTAATTTAATCTAATTATTTTAGTTAATCTAATCACTGCTTATTTCTAAACTAGCTGGATACCTGTGCTCCGCTATGAAACTATGTAATCGGGCTTGATAAAGCGTCACAAATTAATGAGTAGTTATGATCAGCCTCTCCTCTCCCTTCTCTCCCTCAGGCTGGTCCCACAGAGGCCTCTCCTATCTTATCCCCTTCTTTCCCTCAGGCTGGCCCCATTGATCCTCTCCTATAGCCTTCTCTCCCTTAGGCTGGCCCCATTGATCCTATCTTATCTCCTTCTCTCCCTCAGTCTAACTCCTTAGCATCAGACTGTTTTTCAGGTGGGGAAGGGGGGTAGAATGTCTAAACTCCCAGCCCTTTCTTTCTTAGCAAGCACCTAGAAGCCAAGAGGAACATACTGTACGTGCCAAATTTCAAGTTTGTAGGCTTTATGGTTTTGGAGGTTTTGTGACGATGTGTGAGTGGTTTTTGCTTTTATATATATAGATTTCTACCTTTATCACAGGCTGATCTTTAGCAATCAAAATGGAATTGGAAAGCCCTTTCTAACTTAGAAAGCTTGAATCAATCTAATTTGGTACTAATGTTTTTTTGGACTGGTCTGTCAAAGCAGATTGCAACTTAATATTTATTCAGAAGCTGGAAATCTCTTCTTGCCCTCCTTTCTCACAAAGTAAAACAAAGCATCTATTTCATGGGGGCAGTTCCATATCTTTTGGAAATTGCACTAAGCAACATATCCATGTTTTGCAAAACTTTATGCAGAAGGAGACTCTTCATTATGTTAAACTCTGGCAGTTAAATCTTGTACTTTTTGACAGATTGTGTTTCTTGCACAATTTTAACTGAAAGCAGAGAATAGGCTCACTTTGGAGCAAATACTAAATATTTGTAGAGTTCGAAAAGGCTGGTAAGATTTGATTGTTAATACACAGATTGAAATTCATCTCATTGCAATTTGTTTTTGCTTTCTCAAATCTTTTCTTACAGCATTTGGCTAAAAGGTTATAACTTCTAATAGAAATCTGTAGCATGGTCAGGTATTTAAATGTTCCAGATCATCAAGTGATATCTATCTCTATTTCTTTCATGAAGAAATAAAACCATTATGTATGAAATTGAAAGTTTGATGGATATCATTTCCGCACATTTTATTCTTAAATTATAGAAGCATTTCATAGAGCTATCAAGAAAAATTGTAAGGCTATGTATGAGGGCTCCAAAAAATATTGGTGACTATGAGATGATGACAACAAAAAGATGCAGAAATATATCACTTTTTGCTGCTATCTAGTGATCATTCAGACTTTTGCAGCCCAGATATAGTAGATACAGAATTTTTTTCCTGGAATCTATTTTAAAATGTCATTTTTAAAAAATGTTCATAGAATGAAAAAGTTAGAATGGGTGTTGGCTGTCATCTAGGCCAGAGTTCTGCAATCTTTCTGGCTTTGTGGACTGGCAGGGGGAGGGAATGGTTCAGTGCGAGTGGCGGGCAAGTGTGCATGCACACGTGCAGCTCCATTTGTGCAAGCAGTGGACACGTGTACCCGCCGCTCACTCAAATGC